TGTGTAAGGTTTGGATCAAAATTGTTGATGCACTTATAATTTTTGTATAATTCATTTCTCAAGAGCCAGGCTAGGACGAAATTCATGCCTTTTTATAATCCTCACATCATCTCGGTAGCATATAAGTGAGTCTCAAGAGGGATTGAGCCCAGCTGTCGTCGATCTGCCACCTCAGGGATGAAAGATGAAAGGCAGCGCGTCATATGCACTTGAGAAAACCCAAATTGTCGAGCTGCTCTGTTAGAAGAGTGAGCATTGTAATGTGTTTATGTAGCGATTGGACAAAAAAGCTAGACAGTGGCACAATTAGTTCAAATTCTTCTAGAAGCGAATGCTTGGTTGACCCAAAACTCGATTATTTTTCAAATTTGAGTTGTTTTAGCTAAACTGGTAATGTTTGAGATGATTAGCTTGTATTGGTAAAAGTAAGATTGCAGTAAAAAAAAATAGGCTCGACAAGTCAGGTTTGGGTTAGGCCAGTTTGGGCGAGGCGAGTTTGGATCAAATATTTTGACGTATATGGTATAAACAAGTTAGGTTCGAGAAAAGTTTTGTTTGGGTTCGATCAACTTTGGGTCAAACTCAAATCTAATTCATACATTGAGAGTGACACCACTGCTACTTAACACTTTGGGTCTTGGGAGAGAGGTATTTTGTGGATCAACAAGAAGAAAATGGAAGATTTACATGAAACTACTAAATTCCCGTGTATTTACATATATACCTAGCACCCAAACTTTAATTTTTACACATATTTAACACCTTACCTATGCATAAAATTGTATATTTCGCTTTTTAAGTGTTAAAATATTGTGATATGAAAGCTTTGGCTGGTATAAATGTAAGAAAGCAAAATTTGGATGTTAGATATGTAAATACATAGGAAAATATTTGAATAACTCATAAAGGTCATTAGTTAGGAAGTAAGGCATCCGTATAAAGAGGAAATTGGAGTTGATTATTTTTCTCCAAATTTTATTTTTCATTTATAGTTTTACTAACAAAGAATAATTGTTGATTAAAATTAATTTATTTTTAGAATAATTTAATCAATTTTCGAGATTTCAAGAGAATAAATAATATGTAAATGTCTTGCAAGTAATCTAAATTTTAAATCTACTTCATTAATCATGAATATTAAATAAATTATAAATATTATTAACTATATATTTTAGAATGACAGTAATGTTTTGGATCATATATATATATATATATTTATAGAAGGTTTAGCATTCCATGTAAATAAAAATCAATTTTTTAAAATATTTTAGTAAAACTTAAAAGTTAATGGGAAATTTTAGAGGAATTAAATTAATGTGTCATACTTTAAAATTATGGGAGAGGGTAATTGAACATATGATATCATGTTGCTTGTACTGTTATTTAACATATGTTCGCTAAAGTTATAATTTCTTGTATTGACACTGTGATAGATGCTACACATGATAGTTTGACATGTTTTATTTATTTACATAGAATACATATTTATTGAAAATTGTGGTAGATTTTGAGTAGCATAATGAGCTGTAGTTGCTCACCCCTGTTTTACTCACATGAGCTGTTTCAGGGAAAGGTAAGACTCGGGTTGAGTAAAAGTTTTTCGTATTACTTGTGTGAGTCTGATTTTAGGTATGTCAGTATCTTTGATCTTTATATTTTACAATCATGATGATGTTTCGTTTTGTTTGTTGATTGTGTGAAACTTGAAGGAAAATAAATAGATAAATTCATTCCAAATATAGCTTGGGTAATAATTTATTTATTATGATTTAACCCGCCTCGATATGATGGGTTACATCGAGTTAAGTTGTGACAAGTAAGTTGTTGATACAACTTATATTCAAGTCATTAAAAAAATGCATGCTAGAGCAGTTGATTGTGTTTGAACAGGAGGATTGACAAAGTATTTTCCTATTTTAGTGGATTACATTAGGGATCGGTTTTAAGCCAATATCTTTTGCTTTAGTTGTTGCTACTCTCACTGGACATTTATAGGAAGATGTACTTTAATGTATGCTTTTCAATAATGATATCCTTCTTTTGGATAAGTTTAGATAAATAATTCATGAAAAACTTCAATAATAGGGGTCTGCAATGCGTCTAAAGATCTTCGTTTGAGTTTATCTAAAACTGATTACATGAAACATAATTTTAGTAGTAGTAGCTATAGTCGCAAAGTTGTAACTATGGGTGATGAAATCATTAAAAGGTGTGATTGTTTTAGTTATCTCGGGCCTATGATTCAAAGTGATAGTGATAAATGTAGGGATGTTATTAGTATAATTCAAGTTAGTTGGTGGAAGCGGAGGAATGTATAAGCCTATTGTGTGATAGAAAAGTATCGTTTATACTGAAATGAAAATATTATAAGATGGTGGCGAGACCTACAATGCACTTGAATGTTGGCCTTTAAAAGAGAAGTATAAAATAAAGTTAAGTGTTGCGAATATAAGATTTGTGTAGCTCCAGTAGCCTATAAAATTAAAGATAGTTGTCTTAGAAAGTTTGGTCACATGAAATGCAATTCATCTTGTTAGGAGAGTAGATATCTTAGATTTGGCTTATGTTAAGAAAGACAAAGGTAGACCAAAAAAAATTGGGACATGTTCTATAAAAATGATTTTAATTTTTAAAATAAATGAACCCAATGGAGAAAAAACCCCCCACTTTGCCAAGATAAGAAGGAGAAAAGATAAGTTGTGTAAAAAAAATGTCTAGAGATTTATTAAGCAATCACTCAATAAGGAAATATTTTTCAACACCTTCCTAAAGTTCTAATATATTTGTTGTATACATCTCATACATTTATCCCAATGCAATTAATTATATTTTTTGGTCCGGACGTAGGCATGATAATTAACAAAAAAAAATTTGAACTGTTGTGATGTAAGCCCCGTTCTGTAACCCATAAAGGGCCTAAGTGAATAACTGTCATAACGGCCAAAGTATCTTCGGAATCAAACTATCATGGGCTCCACACGCGTCTTCACCTCAAGTTGATTCAAGATTTTAATGTATTCCTACACATACATTTCTGTATAAATGGCCCGGGGACTTTCCACAGCCCAATGGGCCGAAGCACTTCATCAAACAGCTCGTGCGTGCGTGCGTATTTTCTCCACGACTAAATAAAGTTATTCAACTTTAAGTTATTAATGATGTGGTACTAAATATTGAATGCAATTATCGGTTCACTGCGCGCAATAAATTATAGAATAGAGGATTTGCATGCGTATCCCAAATAAATTAAGCTTTCATAATTCTGGAGATCTTATCCTTTAATAATATAATTTTTATATTTTTTATCAGCATATTTTTATAAATTTTATATAAAGCATAAGAAAAAAAAAAATCAAATCATCAATATTCAGCATTGTTCTTACTGAGATGTAACAATCCAGAAGAGAAAAATATGATCGTGGTAAATCCATTGTATGGAGATCACGTGGTCCATCAAATCATACGAACCAAATCAATTAGGCCAAAACAGACCAAGCAGGAAGGCAAGTAGAAAGGCGACCGAGCGATCTAAGCGTAAGGCATTCGACCAGAAATAAGACAACAGAACATATGAACTGTCCCCCCTAGGAAAACCGACTCGATGCGGTGGCATATCTCATAGTAGAGCCGACGCATTTGAAGAGCAAATTTCACAAAGCATCCTCAGCCATCCAACCAAGATTTTTTAGACTCATTGCCAAAGATTGAAGATGATCGATCAGCTAACAGAACAATACTTAATTATGTTACTACGTTATTTAGACTAAAGAAATGAAATAATTTAAATTAGGTATAATTCCCTTATTGCACATTGTTCTAAGCTTCATAAACTAATTTATCTAATTTCGTTCATATAGATAGACATCGTGAATTGTGCAATTAACCATATTAAGTTTCTATTTCCTGGACCAAAAACATCTTAATTTCTGGATATATATATTCTAAAAAGTATTTATAAATAAATACATAAATATAGCATTAAAATACTGCATTTAAATTTTATGTATATATATATATATATTATAAATTTTTTTATTTAAAATAAATTTGAAGGTATTATCTTTTACATATCTTAATCTACTTAAAATTTTTTTAGACCGACATTTAAAAAAAAAATGGGCTTTTACATATACACCACTCCTTTTTTATGTATTTACATTTCTAATATTAAAATTTAATTTTTACAATTCTATCTTCTAAAATGTTTATATCACTTAAAAAATATTATTAATCAATAAATAAATAATATAGCTTTGACCAGCAGAACCGTCGAACGAATCCCCGTGAAGGCCCTGCATCTCCGTTTCGCGTCGGTTAGGGATACCCGATCCCCTATTATAGCCGGTTGAACCGGTCAGCAATCTCACTTCTCATCGGCCGCCTTGGAATTAGACCGATAACCAATTTTAATTAAAAAAATCATTATTTATGACAAAAAAAATTAACCATTTTCCAATTTTCCGAAACACTGATTAAATTTTGACTTAGCGATTCTCCAACCTCGTCCTCCGGTGATGCGCCGCAGTGGGCGGAGATGGTGAGCTTCTATTTTTTCTTTTAATTTTTTTTTTAATTATTTCGTTGTCATCATTTGATTTCATTTTAGGGTTTTCTTATTGTTCATGTGATTGCAGTTCTTTGTTGGAAGACAGATTAAAGTTCTTGTCGATTCTTTTTCTGTCATTCTTGAAAAGCTCTGTAAACACTTTCGCTCTCACTTTGATCCAAAATGAAATGCAGTAGCTGTTTGTTCTGATTGGCGCTGAGGGTTTTATGATGAGAAAATAGACTCGATCGATTTGAATCTTCATGTCCCTCCGTTTCTTTTTTTAACTAAGAACAGTTTCTTGTTGACAATGGCTGAGATTAAAGCATCTAAAATGGATTTGTCAGAACTTGCTAAAATCGTGGTTGATCGCATACAGAAGCTTGATCCAGACAATGTTAGCAAAATTATGGGGTTTATTTTGTTGAAAGAGCCATGCGAGCAAGAACCATGCGAGCAGGAGATGATGAAGCTAGCATTTGGCCCCGAAGATGTATTACTCTCCAAAATTGATGAAGCTAAGACGATATTAGGATTCTTATCCCAAAATAACTTTTCAGTTTCTTCTCAAAACCATTCTCTGCAAAACTTAGGGTTTACTCCGCAAACCTATCCTGATTCAATCGGAGAAGATTACTCTTTTTCTGTGCAGTCCCAACTCTTCAATTTGGAGGAGAAAATGGAGCCATCTTCATCTGTGGGTAACCATTACTTCCACCAAGATTCTTCTTTTAATGGCAGCTTGTCTTCAAGCACAAGCAGGAGATCACCAAGCCTTCTCGAATTTCCTATAAAGACCTGTCATTACTTCAATAAGGGATTCTGCAAACACGGTGAAAATTGTAGGTATTTTCATGGCCATTATCAGGCTTTTGGTTCACACTTAAATGAGTTCCAAAGTGAGGAAAATGGGTTCACCCCTGAGTATCTTGAGAAGCTAGAAATGGAGATTGCTGAACTCTTGAAGTCTCATGGAGGGGCACCTGTTTCAATTTCATTGTTACCCATGTTGTATTATAAGAAGTATGGAAGAATTCTTCGAGCTGATGGTTATCTGACAAAGCTACTCTCCTGTTTTAGCAATAGTATTCTCCTGATCAATCGGTAATCTTCATATCACATGCATGTTTGTTGCTTAGCATGACTCTTTGGTTGGCAGAGTTTGTAAGACCCCCAAGGATCACTGGTTCGATCCCGCCTATATGGGGAATGAAATTCTTAGGCACATGAGATTCGTGTCTAATAGCCTTTGGCCAATCTTTTAAAAAAAAAAAATGTAGTGAGATTTTCATACATAGCACGCAACTCTTTTGCATTTACATATCTTACACCCAAACTTTCATATTTACATATATGTAGCATTTTGATGCTTCAAACTTATGCATGAAAATGTGTAATCCACATTTAAAAAGTGATAATAGTGTTGTGTGTGTGAATATGAAAGCTAAGGTGTGAGATATGCAAGTACATGAGAATTGTGTGCTATGTATGGCAATGCCCTTTAAAATTTAGCTATTTACCTTTTGTAATGTTTGTTGAGATTTTATATTTGCATTTTATTCTGGATTACAGGCCTCGTGGGCAGCATTCGATGATTTTAACGGAGGATGCGCCAAAATACCTTGAATGCCTGCATGAGAGGAGCGAACAGGGGTCGACATCTGCCGGCTCTCATCAGATATATCTCACATTTCCAGCGGATAGCACATTTAGTGAGGATGATATTTCCAGTTACTTTAAGTACATGACATTTCTATTTAATTTATAAGAATATGAAAATCGCTTTTGTTAAAGACAATAATATTTTATTCTGATCTTATTCTTGATAGGCAATTTGGCCCTGTTAAGGATGTAAGAATTCCTTGTCAGGAAAAGAGAATGTATGGGTTTGTTCGCTTCCTCTATCCAGAAACAGTGTGTCATATTTTGATGAAGAAAAATGCACATTATATAGGTGGTTCTCGTGTTCTAGTTAAGCCATACAAGGAGAAGTCGAGGATGGTGGACAGGTGAAATTACTTAAAGATTTGGTAAATTATATTCCAAATAATATTCATTCTTATTTAGGTATTGCTCGATCAATTATGCAGGTCATATATTGGGAAGAATAAGCTTTCAATGCATCATCCTTGTCAATATCTTGATCTGGATTCGGAGCTTTTTGGGAGTGAGATCAAAACACAGATTTAGTTTGTCATAGTTCTTGAGAAAAAAAGTATCAAAATAGAGTCAGGGGATCATTTTAATCTTGGAGTCTATAAAAGTGTCAATTTAGTCCCCAGATAGATTTAGTTTGTCATAGTTCTTGAGAAAAAAAGTGTCAAAATAGAGTCAGGGGATCATTTTAATATTGGAGTCTATAAAAGTGTCAATTTAGTCCCCAGATTCTCTTAAGCAAGGTTAAAATAGTTCTCTCTGAGGACTATTTCATCCCTTATTAAAAGAGTCTGGAGACCAATTTGACACCTTTGTAGACTCTGGGACTAAAATAACTCGTATAAATAGTCGAAGGACTGTTTTGATACTTTATTTCTTAATTCTTCATCAAGCATTGATCTTCTTTGCTCTTCATCATTAGTTACAAGGAATGCCCCGATAGCTCAAGGATGATTAAATTGCACCTCGTGGAACAACAAAATATGATAGAATTAGAAAGAAGCCGACTCTCTCGTTTCAATTTAGTACAAGAACACCAACAATCCTACAACAACTATGGTGTTGATGGTGTTGATGGCCTTAAACTCTTAGAAGGTGTAAAACATCTACTTTCTATACTGTTTGTCCTTTTCTGAAGGACAATATTAGAGACAAACGCATATCATTATTTGCTTAGATTCTCATTGAATATTTGAATTGATTTATGTTTTTTTTTTTAGTTGCAGATTCTAATCACTTTGAAGAAGATCATTTGGGCTTTACTCTTGATGTTTCAAACACTGGTTTATCTAGTCATGTCGAAACTAGAAATACAATCAACAATTGCAGTTACAAAGAAAGGTGAGAGGCCAAAATCTGACCCATGTTTTCTACTCCAAGCACATAATCTTTAACTTATTAACTGAAAAATTTTATTTCACAAGCGTTTGGTAGCCTAACAATTCATGGTATTGTCCTCTTCGAGTTAAAAAGACCATTTTTTGCGTCTTTCCTTAACGCAAAAGGGGCATTTACATACATACCACCCAATTCCTATTTACATATCTAATTCCTAAGCTTTAACTTTTACATTTATACACCCCAATTCTTTTTTACCACGAAAAAATACTACCATTTTGAACTTTTAAAAAGTGATTCACCTTTTCATGCATAGTTAGGATGGCATGTATGTAAAAATTGAAGTTTAGATATTAGATATGTAAATACATAAGAATTGATTGGTATGTATGTAAATCCTCCAATAATAATAATAATAATAATAATAATAATAATAATAATCCATAATCTTGTTTCCTTCTGTTGCAGTGGTTACTTTGAGCTCCCTGAAAATCCATTTGGATCTCCACCATCGGTTGGAAGCAGCTTTATACACTGATATAGAGATTCAGAGAAGCAAATGTGATGGAAAATGAAGGACTAGAAGAAAAAAAAAATAATTAAATTTTTTTCCGCCCTCTTCTTCTATTTCACTGATCTATATTTCTTAACAAACCACCTTTATACTAGAGAATAAAAAAAGCAATGTGATAAAATTGCACAATGATGCTATAGTTTTCTTATAATTACATTTACAAAACATATTGACATCGATCTCACAGAGAATGTTTATAAGAACTTGAGTGCTAAGAAGCTACTTCAATCTTCTCAGTTTAGTGCAGACAAGTCATGTCTATATAAACAACTATAAAGAAACTTTTTATTTTTATTTTTATATAGGTGCTCATGTTTTTGTTTTTAGGGGACTTCTAGTTAAACAATCAGCTTAGAATTAGCCCAAAGTTGTGAATATTTGTTTTATTTTTACATGTTTTTGTTGGGCACTTCTTCATTTATTATATCTTCTCTAAGAATTTAGTTTTGAGAATTTATGGTTAGCGACTTCTGTTTTCTTTAATGAATGGCTGCTGAATTGGATTTGTGTGATGTTACTAGGAGTGGATTTGATGATATTTTTTATTGAATATATATATATATATATATATA